GGAATGTTAAAGTCACCTTTAAATCAGCAGTATTAGAGAAATGTAAATTCCAAATAATGTGTTCTATCTTTTCACTAGTAAAACATTTCTGCTTGCTTACACACTGAATAGAAATAAAATATCATCCTTTTTTTTTTTTTTTTTTTTTAAAAAAAAAAAAAGACCAACAATCTTTCCAATAATGACCTAGTTCAAGGAAAAGGAAAAAGCTGGACACTGCTCTGAAATGTGGACACTCACAACTCCTTGGTGCCAAATGGATTGTATCCTGGAGTGCTAAGGGAGTTGGTGGATGTGGTTGCCAAACCGCACTCCATCATCCTTCAACAGTCCTGCCTAACTGGGAATGTCTGGGTGGACTGGAGACTGGCAGATATGAAGACCATCTTCAGAAAGGGCCAGGAAGATGATTCTGGTAGCTGCGGACCTATCATTCTCACCTTGGTGCCATGGAAGGTTGTGAAACGGATAATCTTGGGAGCCACCATGGATCAATTAAAGGTCAGCCATGGGATCAGGCCCAGACAGTATGGGTCTATGAATGGAAGATCCTGTCTGACAAACCTGATTTTGTTCCATGACAGGGTGACCTGCTTAGTGGATGAAGGTGAGGCTGTTGATGTGGTCTTCAGTAAAGTCTTTGACACTGCCCCCACATCATCCTCATGGAGAAGCTGGCTGCCCATGGTTTGGATGGGCATTCGCTCTGCTGGATGAAACACTGGCTGGATGGCCCAACTCAAAGAGTTGTGGTCAGTGGAGTTAAATCCAGTTGGAGGCCAGTCACGAGCATTGTCCCCCAGGGCTCTGTTCTAGGGCCGCTTCTATTTAACATCCTTATTAATGATCTTGATGAGGAGATGAGTGCACCCTCAGTAAGTTTGCCGATAACACCAAGTTGGTAGGGAGTGTTGTTCTGCCAGAGGGAGCGATGAGCCAAGGTAAACTGTATGAGTTTCAATAGAATCAAGTGTCAGGTCCGGCATTTTGGATACAACAACCCCAGGCAACCCCAGGCTTAGGGAGGAGTGGCTGGAAAGCCGTCTGACAGAAAGGGACCTTGGTGTGCTGATGGACAGTTGGCTGAATATGTGCCAGCAGTGCGCCCAGGTAGCCAAGAAAGCCAATGGCTTGTATCAGGAATGGTGAGCATTTGAAATCTGTAAGTAAACCAGGAGATGATTAGACAAGCTGTCTGGAATTTGAGGACAGTCAGTTACTGATAAACCATGGTGACAGATAGCCAACAATGCTTTCAAAATATCAGTGTGCTTTCAGAATTGTTTTCAGGCACAATATTTCTAAAGACCTATTCTTATGTTTCTATTCTGTCACAGTGGTATTTCTAAATGCTATTGAGATTGTGGTTTGCAGCCTTTAACACATCAGCTAACATAATTTCGTACTATATAACTAATATGCATTTAATTTCTGGTTAATGCCTTTGAATTACAGTAATAGCACTGAGGACCATTACTGCTGACGGGCACAGAGGCCGGACACATGGGCAGCATGAAAGAAATATAATAGATGTATGGGCTTACTTAGCTACTGTCAAGCGCAGAGACACTACGATAAACATTAAACTTTACATGAGTACCAATCTAATTTTTTAGTCCATGTTATTGTAAATACTGCAAAGTAGGTTATGTAGAAGATCTGTGCTTCAGCTTTTTCACATTTCTCTAGCTGCATGGATAATTAGACTTCATGCAGATTGAACATTGGATGGTAGAATGATCTTGGTAGAACTGAAGTGGCCATTTGTCCCCTGAATAATGGAAGTAGGCTTTTAAAACAGTTAAATGAAAGGTATGAACTTGTATTTCTACATCCACTAATCATAATAGACAATTTCTATTTAATTTATTATTTTAAATTGCTGTGATACAAAATGTGCCTCAAAGTACTGTTAGTACATCTTCAGGCAGGCTTGGAGAAATTTAATACATATATAATACATGATGCATACAAAACAACACAACGTCTTGTGGAGTGTTAAAACTGGACTTTGACTTCCATTCATTTTAATACTGTTCAAAGAAACATTAAAAAACAATTAAAGAGTGACAGTAAACATGAAAATGAGGGGATGACTTCAGGAATGTTAGCAAGTATCTTTTCTAATCACAGCTAGATAATTCTGATGACTTCTTCATGCTCTCTTTTTTCCTGTTATCTCAGTTCTCTTTAAGCTAGCTAAATATAAAGTAATCATTGAATCTGAGCAAGCTCTACTAATTCAAGTGAAGAGTTATACACTGACTACTGGACCTGTTACACTGAGTAATGTATTCTTATATGTCAGTATATGGAAAGTTTCTGTGAAGAAGAAACCCAATTCAGCACTTGTATTAAGTAGCTCAAATTTTCAGCGAAGACTCAAGAACATTTGTATATACATTTACCATTCCTTTAAACGAGAAAATTAATATTAGGAAAATGATGTTCTCAACCTCCCTTTGTTTTTGTATTTGAGCTTAAGAAAACTAACACACGTCTTGCTTGCGGGACGCAGCGGCCGTTCCGCGTATTGGCCAGGAGGTGGCAGCACAGACCGCGGAAAGAACTTTTCCGACGGGACTAGGCTAGCGGCAGCGCAGTGCCTGGCGATCCGGTCTGTGTGCTGTGAGGATGGGAGAGGAGAACGAAGTTAGAAGTGAACGGGTTGAGGGGGGAAAGACGAAGAAGAAAGAGGGAAACGTCTCCAAACCCCAGGAGAGCTGTGCCAAGTGCATATAAATAGCTTTTAAAAAAAAAAAAAGAGTTTTTTTCTTTGTTTCTTCTTTCTTTTTGCCAACATCTCTTGCGTTGTTTCTAAATACCAAAATACCAAAATGCAACTGCCCAGCAAATTTAATGATAATGGGATTAGAGCCCATTGGCAGAAAGTGCAGGGCCATATTAATGTTCACTCAGCCTCTGTCTTGTTTATACTTCCACGTATTTTTCTTCAAAAGCCTTTCTTTCACTGCGGATTTCATTTTTGGCTTTTTGTTCATAAAATGGGAATGCCATAAAACGGGAAGTTTTAGGTTCTAGCAAGTCTAATCAGCCAGATCTAGCACAAAGCTGCAGTTTTGAGTTCTGTGTGGACCATTACAGTGTTCCTACAAAGATTAACCGTTCTCCCCAGAGTTTACAGATGGAAAAAATTAATTCACCTGCCTAGAAAGAATTGATGTGTCACAGCTGCCATTGGCAAGATGGCCCAAGAGTTGTGTGGGTGCATCTGGCTGTGAGAGGAATGTCTAATTTTAGAACTGGAGATAGTGTAACACTGTTACTAGTTGATACTTGCTATGTCATTGCATTCTAGGATTATGTAATAAGCAAAAGAACTGCCTCATAGAAGAGAATGACATTAATTACAATCCAGTAGTGATCTTGTTTTTGGTGTTATTATTGCATACGTATATCTGCCTTTGCATTGTTAGTTCTAGAAGATACTGTCTACAGGTATTGCTGACAATTAAAAAAAAAAAAATTACAATTCTTATTTATTCTTGGAAATATGTTTCTTTGCTTGCTATGAATCAGTTAATACTGAGCCATGATATTTTGCTGTGCCTGTGCACTTTATTGAATGTATCAAAGTGCATAAGACATATTGATATTGTAACAATTAAACACAGAAACAAAGACTGTGTCTAAAAAACAATTCCAAAGTTTTAGGAAGGAAGGATTATTATAGAATTCTGAGACTGCCTGATACAAGAAGAAAGTGGTTTAGGCAGATTCACATAATTTGACTTAACACACTCATTCTATAAGTGAAAAGAATTTAATCTCAAAGACTGGCAAGCAGAATTTTTAACAGGAACACTACTATGCAAATCAAAGAGCAATTCTGTTGTCATGCTATGTACTAACTGCCAGACACTTGTTTGCTTTACAAAATATGCATTAATTTATCAAATAACCCCGCAAAATAAACAAACCTGAAGAAAACCTATGCATTTAAAATGGTTAGGATTTGACAAAGAAAAAATATAAAATGTTCAAAAGTAGCAAATCCAATTTTTGTTTCTTCAGAAACAAGCTCATTTCAGGTAAAAGCTATTAGCTACTGCTACGTAAAGAAAATACAATTTATACTGTTCAGTGTTACAAACAAGAACTAATTTTGAAAAGATAACTAGTGGATTTCATGATGGCATAACTACATGAGCGGATGAGGAAAATGCCTGATGTCATCTATCTTAATGTCAGTAGAGACTTGGACATAGTCCCCATCATATCCTTTTCAAATTCAAAATGTGTGGATGTGAAAGGTGGACTGATGAACAAAGTTTAGTCTAGTCATACCTTGAGAGTGGTGGTCATGGGCTCAATGTCTGGCTAGAGAAAGTAACAAGTGCTACTACTCAGGGGTCAGTAGTGGGACCAATGCTCTTTAATATCTTCAGCAGTGACATTGACAGTACATTCTCATCAAGTTTGTGGATGGCAACAAGCTATGTGATAAGGTCAAGATGACTGAGGGATGGGATGCCACTCAGAGAGACTTAGACAGCCTTTGTCAGTGGGACAAGAAGAAGCTCATGAGGTTCAAAAATCGTTTTAGGAAGGAAGGATTATTCTTTATCCTCTTTCTTTAATAGTAACACTTTTCTGATCATACAAAACAGGGACAGTCAGCAGTATGCTAGGGTTGCATTCAGGATGGAGTACTCCAGATGTGGTCTCACATCTGAGTGCCCATATCTATGGGAGTGCAGACAGGGCTAGGCTCTGGGAGTTATATTCTCTTATTCTGAATCCAACAGGCCTACCGTCTCTTTCAGTAGTTCTCTAAAAATGTCGGACTTACCGTGCGAATTAAATGCCGTTTCTGCTGTGAGAATTAGCAAGATGAGTATTTCATGGTCTCTGCTGCCATCTATTGTCATTTATGGGTACTAACAATTCTTGTTGGGATTCTCTTCATAACGGGAAACAGCACTTATGTACTATACTGTTGCAGGGACTTGAGAAGCTTGCTTCCTGTGACAAACTGCAGCTTTTCCATCTTGGAGTATGTACTGGGGATTATTGCCAAGCCTTGTAGGGGTATGAAAGAACAACAAAGGAATTCCATGAATTGTTATGGGCTGTGGATATATCCAGTTCTGCTTACTAATTTTAAAAAAAAAGTTCATTCTGCATATATGACGCACGGCGAAGTCCAAACCGCTCCTTTCGGATGTGCAAATCGGAGAAAAGCCGCCGGCTGCCGTTGCTCTTTTTCTCGGGTACGGTTTAACAAGACACCGCGGCTGGAGGCTGAAAGCGGCAGTCGGCGATAATTCGCTTCTCGGGCAGTAACGGCAAACGCTCCGGAGCAGTTCACCGCGAGTGCCACTTCCGAGCCGGGAGAGCGAAGCTGTGCCGTTCTGAAGCCGAGAGCGTCCGAATTCAGCCTGCTGCCTTTCCTCCGGAGGGGGTTATTTTCTCCGCACTGCAGAAAGGATCTCTCCCGACTTCTTCCAATGCGCTCCCTGAGAGCACAGCATCTGTCGCTCCTCGAATCTCCAGCTGCCTCGTTAAGAGAGGCTTTTCCCTTCTACCCTTGTGGTCACAGAACACAGAAGTGGAGCCACAGAGAACCACACCAAAAAGAGTTGTCGCTCGAAATGAAGGCACGGACACCACATTCAGAGCCAGGCGTAGTTCATTCTGCATATATGTACGCACGGCGAAGTCCAAACCGCTCCTTTCGGATGTGCGGAGAAGAGCCCGCAAATCGGAGAAAAGCCGCCGGCTGCCGTCGCACTTTTTCTCGGGTACGGTTTAACAAGGCACCGCGGCTGGAGGCTGAAAGCGGCAGTCGGCGATAATTCGCTTCTCGGGCAGTAACGGCAAACGCTCCGGAGCAGTTCACCGCGAGTGCCACTTCCGAGCCGGGAGAGCGAAGCTGTGCCGTTCTGAAGCCGAGAGCGTCCGAATTCAGCCTGCTGCCTTTCCTCCGGAGGGGGTTATTTTCTCCGCACTGCAGAAAGGATCTCTCCCGACTTCTTCCAATGTGCTCCCTGAGAGCACAGCATCTGTGGCTCCTCGAATCTCCAGCTGCCTCTTTAAGAGAGGCTTTTCCCTCCTACCCTTGTGGTCACAGAACACAGAAGTGGAGCCACAGAGAACCACACCAAAAAGAGTTGTCGCTCGAAATGAAGGCACGGACACCACATTCAGAGCCAGGTGTAGTTCATTCTGCATATATGTACGCACGGCGAAGTCCAAACCGCTCCTTTCGGATGTGCGGAGAAGAGCCCGCAAATCGGAGAAAAGCCGCCGGCTGCCGTCGCACTTTTTCTCGGGTACGGTTTAACAAGACACCGCGGCTGGAGGCTGAAAGCGGCAGTCGGCGATAATTCGCTTCTCGGGCAGTAACGGCAAACGCTCCGGAGCAGTTCACCGCGAGTGCCACTTCCGAGCCGGGAGAGCGAAGCTGTGCCGTTCTGAAGCCGAGAGCGTCCGAATTCAGCCTGCTGCCTTTCCTCCGGAGGGGGTTATTTTCTCCGCACTGCAGAAAGGATCTCTCCCGACTTCTTCCAATGCGCTCCCTGAGAACACAGCATCTGTCGCTCCTCGAATCTCCAGCTGCCTCGTTAAGAGAGGCTTTTCCCTCCTACCCTTGGGGTCACAGAACACAGAAGTGGAGCCACAGAGAACCACACCAAAAAGAGTTGTCGCTCGAAATGAAGGCACGGACACAACATTCAGAGCCAGGCGTAGTTCATCGTGCATATATGTACGCACGGCGAAGTCCAAACCGCTCCTTTCGGATGTGCGGAGAAGAGCCCGCAAATCAGAGAAAAGCCGCCTGCTGCCGTCGCACTTTTTCTCGGGTACGGTTTAACAAGACACCGCGGCTGGAGGCTGAAAGCGGCAGTCGGCGATAATTCGCTTCTCGGGCAGTAACGGCAAACGCTCCGGAGCAGTTCACCGCGAGTGCCACTTCCGAGCCGGGAGAGCGAAGCTGTGCCGTTCTGAAGCCGAGAGCGTCTGAATTCAGCCTGCTGCCTTTCCTCCGGAGGGGGTTATTTTCTCCGCACTGCAGAAAGGATCTCTCCCGACTTCTTCCAATGCGCTCCCTGAGAGCACAGCATCTGTCGCTCCTCGAATCTCCAGCTGCCTCTTTAAGAGAGGCTTTTCCCTCCTACCCTTGTGGTCACAGAACACTGAAGGGAACCACAGAGAACCACACCAAAAAGAGTTGTCGCTCGAAATGAAGGCACGGACACAACATTCAGAGCCAGGCGTAGTTCATCGTGCATATATGTACGCACGGCGAAGTCCAAACCGCTCCTTTCGGATGTGCGGAGAAGAGCCCGCAAATCGGAGAAAAGCCGCCGGCTGCCGTCGCACTTTTTCTCGGGTACGGTTTAACAAGACACCGCGGCTGGAGGCTGAAAGCGGCAGTCGGCGATAATTCGCTTCTCGGGCAGTAACGGCAAACGCTCCGGAGCAGTTCACCGCGAGTGCCACTTCCGAGCCGGGAGAGCGAAGCTGTGCCGTTCTGAAGCCGAGAGCGTCCGAATTCAGCCTGCTGCCTTTCCTCCGGAGGGGGTTATTTTCTCCGCACTGCAGAAAGGATCTCTCCCGACTTCTTCCAATGCGCTCCCTGAGAACACAGCATCTGTCGCTCCTCGAATCTCCAGCTGCCTCGTTAAGAGAGGCTTTTCCCTCCTACCCTTGTGGTCACAGAACACAGAAGTGGAGCCACAGAGAACCACACCAAAAAGAGTTGTCGCTCGAAATGAAGGCACGGACACAACATTCAGAGCCAGGCGTAGTTCATCATGCATATATGTACGCACGGCGAAGTCCAAACCGCTCCTTTCGGATGTGCGGAGAAGAGCCCGCAAATCGGAGAAAAGCCGCCGGCTGCCGTCGCACTTTTTCTCGGGTACGGTTTAACAAGACACCGCGGCTGGAGGCTGAAAGCGGCAGTCGGCGATAATTCGCTTCTCGGGCAGTAACGGCAAACGCTCCGGAGCAGTTCACCGCGAGTGCCACTTCCGAGCCGGGAGAGCGAAGCTGTGCCGTTCTGAAGCCGAGAGCGTCCGAATTCAGCCTGCTGCCTTTCCTCCGGAGGGGGTTATTTTCTCCGCACTGCAGAAAGGATCTCTCCCGACTTCTTCCAATGCGCTCCCTGAGAACACAGCATCTGTCGCTCCTCGAATCTCCAGCTGCCTCTTTAAGAGAGGCTTTTCCCTCCTACCCTTGTGGTCACAGAACACTGAAGGGAACCACAGAGAACCACACCAAAAAGAGTTGTCGCTCGAAATGAAGGCACGGACACAACATTCAGAGCCCGGCGTAGTTCATCGTGCATATATGTACGCACGGCGAAGTCCAAACCGCTCCTTTCGGATGTGCGGAGAAGAGCCCGCAAATCGGAGAAAAGCCGCCGGCTGCCGTCGCACTTTTTCTCGGGTACGGTTTAACAAGGCACCGCGGCTGGAGGCTGAAAGCGGCAGTCGGCGATAATTCGCTTCTCGGGCAGTAACGGCAAACGCTCCGGAGCAGTTCACCGCGAGTGCCACTTCCGAGCCGGGAGAGCGAAGCTGTGCCGTTCTGAAGCCGAGAGCGTCCGAATTCAGCCTGCTGCCTTTCCTCCGGAGGGGGTTATTTTCTCCCCACTCCAGAAAGGATCTCTCCCGACTTGTTCCAATGTGCCTCCCGAGAACACAGCATCTGTCGCTCCTCGAATCTCCAGCTGCCTCTTTAAGAGAGGCTTTTCCCTTCTACCCCTTGTGGTCACAGAACACAGAAGTATAGCCACAGACAACCACACCAAAAAGAATTGTCGCTCGAAATGAAGGCACGGACACAACATTCAGAGCCAGGCGTAGTTCATTCTGCATATATGTACGCACGGCGAAGTCCAAACCGCTCCTTTCGGATGTGCGGAGAAGAGCCCGCAAATCGGAGAAAAGCCGCCGGCTGCCGTCGCACTTTTTCTCGGGTACGGTTTAACAAGACACCGCGGCTGGAGGCTGAAAGCGGCAGTCGGCGATAATTCGCTTCTCGGGCAGTAACGGCAAACGCTCCGGAGCAGTTCACCGCGAGTGCCACTTCCGAGCCGGGAGAGCGAAGCTGTGCCGTTCTGAAGCCGAGAGCGTCCGAATTCAGCCTGCTGCCTTTCCTCCGGAGGGGGTTATTTTCTCCCCACTCCAGAAAGGATCTCTCCCGACTTGTTCCAATGTGCCTCCTGAGAACACAGCATCTGTCGCTCCTCGAATCTCCAGCTGCCTCGTTAAGAGAGGCTTTTCCCTTCTACCCTTGTGGTCACAGAACACAGAAGTGGAGCCACAGAGAACCACACCAAAAAGAATTGTCGCTCGAAATTCCATTGTATATGTGTATGCTCCTCAAGTGTTTGTTAGTTATTAGGTGTGGGAAGTTGCTCTCACACCAGAAAAAATACCAAACCAATCAGACAAACAAAAAAAAAGCAGGACACCTCTGAGTTGTATGTTGTCACATTGGAAGGATGTTGCAGAAGGGCCAGGGGGGAATATTAAATAAGAAACTAGGATCATAAAGGGAATAGTGGGACCAGTTTTCTGATTGAGTATCCTAATCAGGAGAGACCAAGCTCTTGGTGTTTGTGGGAGTTGAAGAATTGTGCGGTTTGATTTGTGGATTTTGAAAGGAATGAGACGAACTGTTTTGGTGGTATAAGAAAGGTAATTGTTACTGGTATACAGAAGTAGAATGGAGTGTATATGGAAGTGTAACTGAGGGTGCGACAAAGGAAAAAGGGGTTAAAGAGAAAGTGAGTTAATCTGTGCTGGTGTGAGAGCACAACTCCCCACATCGTTTCCCCGCGAGCAGAACTTGGTGTGAGAGAGTGAGCTGCAGACGGAGACTTCTGCTGCAAACAGCATTACTTGCAAAGGGGGAGGTGAGAGGGCAGGGCACTGGAAGTGAGACTAGCCTCTGCAGAGAGAATCGCAGTGTTGGTACTGGGAGCCTCTGGAGAGGAGGAGGTAAACTGGGAATAACAGCAGCTGTTAGTGTCACGGCACTGGAGTAGGGCCGTAGGATCCAGGGATCCACTCAGAGAGAAATGGGGAAGGGGGGGCTGGAAGAGCCCAGAGAGAGCTCTGCCCCATCGGAATGAAAGTAATGTGTAAATTACTGAGAAAGAGGGGACAATTTCTGCTTGCATAAATGAAGGATGAGAATTTGAGAAGTCTACCCTAGCAGTTCCACTGGTTAAATTACAGCTAGGAGAGCAGGATAAAGAAGTTTATCTTTCATGGATGATATCCACGCGGGTGCATCTTACTGCCCGTAGATGATTTTGTAACAACAGAAGCAGCTAATCCCCAATAAACAAACAAATAAACAGCTTACTTTTTGGGATTAATTGAATATGGCCTGAGAAAACAAGTAGGAAGACACAAAATTCTTGTACGTGCCAGGTTACTCTGGCAAGAAAGTAAATAAAACTGAAATTTAGGATCAAACAATATTAACTGATTGAGACTTGTAAATCTGCCTTTAACACAAACAGGGAAAAACAAGGTTATAGCCCTAGAGACAGAAAGAGCAATATTTCATCAAAAACCTCTGGCAAACACCTGGAGAACTCCTTCAAAATTGCAACCGCTTCCCTTGAATCAGACACTGATGCATTGTTTCACAAAAGCAAGGTCCAAATTCCCACTAGTGTTATGCTTTCTCATTTTATGTTTTAGTGATGCTGAAAAGGCTCAGGAACCTTCTTTCTTTAAACAGGCCGAAGTCCATTCAAAGTTCAAAACTTGGCAAAATTCAAGCTTCATATTTATTTACACAATAATATTGTTGGAGTATGGATCAGAGAAATAAACAAGTCCCATTCTTGCAAAACCTGTTGCTGGTTCCATTGCACTCTTCTGGAAATCTGCACTTAGAGAAATGAAATTCAGGAAGATTCCTGTGTTGCATGCAGCAGATGTTCGCTGGGATGATCGTGGGAGAGAGCTGTCATTAGAAAATTGTCATGTTAATTCACAAAGTATATCAAGAACAAGACAGCACCAAAGCTGAGAAACAAAGGTGTTTTTTCCTAAGACAGATAAGATTTCAAGAGAAGATGCTGCTTTCCACAAAGCAAAGAATTCTTTTTTTTTTTTTAATTTAATTTTATTTTTTTTTAATTAGTAAGCAGATCTGGATATATCCGCAGCCCAAAACAATTCATGGAATTCCTTTGTTGTTCTTTCATACCCCTACAAGGCTTGGCAATAATCCCCAGTACATACTCAAAGATGGAAAAGCTGCAGTTAGGTTTGGCAGAGGAAGCAAGCTTCTCAAGTCCCTGCAACAGTATAGTACATAAGTGCTGTTTCCCGTTATGAAGAGAATCCCAACAAGAATTGTTAGTACCCATAAATGACAATAGATGGCAGCAGAGACCATGAAATACTCACCTTCCAAGGATAAGCAGGTTTTTTTTTCCTTATTTCTGTCTCCATGACTGCTCTGTTTAGTAGTAAATGGCATGAATTAGAAGTGTGAGCAATGTTTAATGTTCTCTTTGTGATGAAAATTGGAGTGCCAGCTACTATGTTTACTGGCTGTGTAGTGATAACCATAGGCTTTACCTCTACCAAATTCCTCCAAGGTGCAAGTAGATTATGAAGAGAAAGGAAAATTGGCTGTGACAAAACAAAAATTATTGTTGGAATATGGATCAAAGAAATCAATAAATCCCATACTTGCAAAACCTGTTGCTGGTTCCATTGCACTCTTCTGGAAATCTGCACATAGAGCAGAAACATGAAAATTTGTATAGAATTAAAATGGAGATTTTGAAGTAGTGAGTGAATGGTAATCAAAGAAATAAAGTGAAAATTTAGATTTTGTTGAATCCCAGGGAGTATACTCATGCAGGCAGTCCAGTTCACTAATGTAGCTGTCTTTTCATACGCTCCTAAACTTCTACATTAGCTTCAGTTCTTGCTTGCCTGCTTGTAGTCATAACTCCAGAGAGATTTCCCTTTGGAATGTTCAAAATTGAGTGCTCCTGAATCAGCTCCCACAAAACAAATGTTCCTCACACAAGGGTACTTTGTAAGAAGAAAAAGATTAAATACAAGGCCAAATATCTCCTGGCTCACTTAAATACTGTCCTTGCCCTGTAAGTTTTAGCAAGTCACTGAAATAAGTGGTTGTAACACAATGAAAAGCACGACAGTGATAGCAGAGTAGCAAGACCCCAGGCTGCAGTGAGTGAAAACTTGCTAAACAGAGCAGTCATGGAGACAGAAATAAGGAAAAAAAAACCTGCTTATCCTTGGAAGGCCTCAGCTATGCAGGGATCTCCAGATGAGATACCCTCAGTTCCACTGCCAACACTTAAATGAGGTCTGCGAAGAGGAAGATCCTGTCAATACCCATACTGGTCATTCATGTGCACTGCATACACTTGAGCTCCCCTGGCTTGGCCCTACCTTACTACTTGGTGCTCAATCACTGTTTCAAGCCCTGACTTAGCATTTCCACCACAGTGGTCACGCCTGTTCATGTGGCCAAAATCTCTAATACACTTGGATCTGAACATTATTTGAAAGGCAGAAAAATTATCCCAGTCTTTCATCACTAAAAACTTCTGCCAAAGCCTTGGTGGGATCTGCACTGTATGCCATTGTAGAAGGTAAGTTCTGCAACAAACTGAGAGCAACAGACTAATGTTAATCAAATCCAGACTACATGGTGTCTTTTTTCTGTCTGCCTTCCTTTTCCAAGACTCACAAACTGCATTTCAGGTATTGCTGTCAAGAGCGTCAAAAGTTATGCTTTGAAGAAAAGAGTTATCTGCTCATGGCTAAGGTATTCTGCCATGTATTCATTATGAAAAGAAGTTAAAAAAAAAAAAAATAAGTTGCAGATAAGAAGCATGAAGAATGACTTTACAACGTAATTGCAGCTTCTCTAGTCTAACGTTTCTTCAAAAAGGCTGGAGAAATCAGTATTTCTCAAAACAAGAGAAATTTCTTTACTCCTTTTTATTACTTTCTCAGAAAAGTGCAACATTCTAACTACTATGGTAATATTGCAGGCTACGGGCTTCTACAATCAATAGATGCACAAAGGTTAGGCTTCATAAGATTACCATGATGAAAAGATATGTACATTTAAAAAGAAAAAAATAAAAAAATTAAAAAAAAGAAAGGAAATGCTAACTGGACTCATAGGCTGACAGTAAACACCCCAGAGAGCAACCTCCAGAAAGAGATCCCTCCTCAGTGGTAGTCAGCCCTTAAATGGGATCTCCACCCCTTCCTGGTAGCACTGGCAAATTGCTTTCACCTGTGCTCCCATGGCTGACTTCTTGCTTGCCTCAGGTGGTCAGTAAGAGGTCCAGGCTGTGATCAACAGTTCCCATACAACGATAACATTACTTGAGAGAGAAAACTCTCAGCTTCAAAACACTATTTTTTTAACATAGTCACCACCACTATATATTTCATATTTTTTCTTTCTCAAATCCTAACCATTTTAAATGCATAGGTTTTCTTCCGTTTTGTTTATTTTGCTTGCTAAGTCAGGGCTTGAAACAGTGATTGAGCACCTAGTAGTAAGGCAGGGCCAAGCCAGGGGAGCTCAAGTGTATGCAGTGCACATGAATGACCAGTATGGGTATTGACAGGATCTTCCTCTTCGCAGACCTCATTTAAGTGTTGGCAGTGGAGCTGAGGGTATCTCATCTGGAGATCCCTGCATAGCTGAGGCCTTCCAAGGATAAGCAGGTTTTTTTTCCTTATTTCTGTCTCCATGACTGCTCTGTTTAGTAGTAAATGGCATGAATTAGAAGTGTGAGCAATGTTTAATGTTCTCTTTGTGATGAAA